TGTTGTACCACCACCAGGACTTACCCACATTACGTTTACGACTGCGGATTTTATGAAAAAGCTAATTGCCCTGCGCAAGCATACCTCTACCGGCGTTGATAATATTCGTCCAAAGACGTTGAAATTGGCTGCAGTAAACCTGGCAGACACACTCTGCAAGTTCTTCCAACGATGCTTCGATGAGATGCGGGCGCCAACAATGTGGAAGCAGAGCATCGTCACTCACATCCATAAGGGGGAAGTCGTACAGATCCGGCCAACTATCGCCCGCTAACACTATTTCCGGTGCTCTCCAAAACCATGGAAGCGATTGTTGCCAAAGCGCTGATGAACTTCTTGGAGGAACGCAATATCATAGCACTTGAACAACATGGATTTCGCAAGAACCGATCTTGCACTTCAAACTTGCTACTTGCTAGATCCAGTTGGACTGAGACCACCGACAGTGGCCTAGGTGTTGATGCAGTATATCTGAACTTCTCAAAGGCCTTTGACCGTCTGAACCGCCGTATCCTCCTTCACAGGCAGCAGTGTTGTGGGATCGATGACCCAATCCTCGGTTGGATAGGCAACTTCTTGCTTCAACGACATCTGGATGTAAAATTTGTGGCGTCATCTTTGACCCAATCGACGTTAAGTGCGGAGTGACCCAGGGCTCAGTACTTGGACCACGACTCTTTCTGATTTACATAAACGATCTCGAGACAGTACTCACCTCCACCTCCTGACTCTTCGCTGATGATCTCAAGATATGGCGAGCTATTAGAACAACCAGCGACAATGCAGCACTTCAGGATGATCTTGACAGGGTCTACGAATGGTCGACTCAGAACCTGCTTCCGTTCAACGCTACGAAGTGCAAGGTGGTGAGCATACACCATAAAACCACTTGCGAATACAGACTGTGGGATCAAATATTGCAGCGCACTTCAACGGAATGCGATTTAGGCTTGATAGTGCAGGAAGATCTGGGCTGTTCCCGTCAGGCCGAGAAAGCCTCCAAAAAGCTAACCAACACCTTGGACTTTTGCGGAGGGCATTCGGGCGCTTCGATCCTTCCATCTATTCTCAGATACGCAACGCCTACATTCAGTGTCATTCTGAGTACGCCATCCACGCCTGGCAGCCATGGCAGAAACAAGACCTTACCGCTCTTGAACTGCCACAAAGAACGGCCACCAAGAACGTAAAGGGCCTGTTTCATCTCCCTTACCGATTGAGGCTGAATACCCTCGGGGTTTACAGCGAACAATATCAGCGCCTACGTGGTGACTTGATAATGACGTATATGATCCTGAGGAATCCAAACCATTCTTGTCGTCACCTACTAAAGCTGAATTGCAATACCACACTCAGAGGACACCATCTAAAGCTGGACACACAATACAGCCGGTTGGAATGCCGCCGGAATTTCTTTTCCCTTCGTGTGCGTCAACACTGGAACGCTCTTCCCACACACGTTGTTTCTTCCCCCACGCTAACTGTATTCAAAAGACGTCTGGATGATTCGCTTATCCACTTATATTACGCTATATAATCAGTGATGTCTACGTCAACCAAATGTGAACAAACGGTGCTCATTCTCAGCTTTTGTGCTTCACGACTTACACGCTGCTGCTGTGGAATATCGTTCTGATACACTACAACTGCATTCATCAATTACCTCAGTCCAAGAAAGCGGCGCACGAGTAAGCGTTGTGGTTTCTTTTGTTCTTAAGACATACCTTCCCCAAATTATTCTACACTGACAATTCAATACGCGTTTTAAAATGTTTATATGAAGAAGGGGCGTCTGAATCGCTAGACGCTTAAATTGACCATTTACGCTTACGTTTGCTTTGACTTCAACCATGCTACGGGACTTGTACAGTAATCGCTTTTTAACCTGTAATATACCATTGTTCATTGTTGTTCATGGTTAAAACTTATTTCTAAATGCAGTGAACTGTCTAGAGAGGCAATTGCTGATTTTATTGTCAGCCAGCATGTAGACGCTCGTAACAGCTTTTTCTTCAAAGTTCTTAACGGCTGTTTTCATTCACCGTATGGGGTGTTATCGAAAGCGCTATCCGTTTCTTCTACACGCTCCACATTCAGAGTCTTATTTCCTCCTCTACGGCTTCTTAGCGCAATTCTATCCTACTTTACTTGTCACAATTACTTGTGGACTCAACGAAACTCATCAGCATGATGTGCAGTTGTTTGCTTGAGTGATACACAAACATTTTGCGTTACACAACTTCTGTGTCTTTGACTGTTAAATCTGTGTTTCTCCATTCGCAGCGACAGGGTAGAAAGCGGAAAATGTATCTGTGCAGGTGCATAAAGCCTATTTTGACTTGACTTGAGTTTAACAAATGAATGTAAGAGGGGGGATGCGACTAAAAGTTGCACTTAGACCCCCACAACAACTATTCTGCCTCAAGGTACCTCCACTTTATCAATATCATCCGGTTGTAAACGGCTGACTATCGCATCAGCAGACTGCTTCGCTGGGGTTTTCACTTTCCCGAATCATAAGCAATCCTACCACAGAGACAGAGCAGTATCATACAAATCATAAACGGACAAACCAAATAAGTAAGTGACCAAGCACACCGTTGGCGTCGGTTATGAACCACATCCTGTTTGGTCTGGAGTCAAGTACAAGTTGGTCACGCAAGCCTCAGTTAGACAGAAGAGGCGAAACAACAGCACCCGATTTAATTGTCGGCACCCCCATTGCGCGCCATCAAGTTAGTGGTTGTCTTCCTCAAGCCTTATACCAACTCAGATCAAGGACCTACGCGGTAAGCAGTAAGTGGGGATACGTCGCACGTTGTTGTTACGCTAACGAACTAACCAGGTGACACCAGTCTACGCATCGCATCGCTGTGGACACGCTCGTGCCAACGGAGGTAGGTTGTGTTCCCTTGGTAACGATCTTCAGGGACCCGATGCGCTCGAAATCCCTAGTCAGAAGGATCCAATTCTCACTGATGTAAGGGAAAATAATCCTCACTATGGAGCTAGCTGATCGCCCAGGTGAAGTCGGATACATAACCGGAAGCTGTTTGGGGCACCAGAAACTGTCAGGCTTTGCATCCCAACGACTGGCAGATAATATGTACCCCAGTGTTACCTCGTTATTCCTTTGCACATGCCCATGAACAACACTACCGTTTGAAATAAACTTAAGGCTCGACTTACCACTAGTCTGATCACGACTGCATGCGTCGGAAACACTTGTAGCAGTGGTGACATTACCCTCGGTTGACACCCTATTTCAACTAGATTCTAAGTACTACTGAATTTCCCCGATCAATAGTTCATCTCTTACCCTGATGCGCATGGATTGTACATGCTGCTTTCTTACCAAACCGATGGTACTTGGGTGTTGAGTCCAAAGTCATCAATCAGCACTTAAAATCGACTTAATTTGCCATCACTGGGGACGATATGCTCAATTAACATCATCGTTACACTGGATAGATAACTGGGTGACTGGTGTACACGCATCAGATGGAAGTACGGTGAGCACGGTTTGGTTCGGTTTACCGGTAATTGCATGCAAAGAACACTTTTGAAGCAACAGCTTCACTCCTCAGCTGTAGTCGCGAAACAGACATCAAATGTGTGAGTTGAAGTACTGCTGGAAAGCGCAGGTTTGTATTACCCCTAGTTTTCACAAAGGTGGCCACTACAACTGTGAATTACAAATTCACCAATTATCAATTCACAATTTATCGTCTGCCTCGATGCATTCAGAAGTGCACGAATATGCACGGATTTCTGATACCAAGTTCAATGCCCAGTTAAGCACAACTACTCGCAAATTAATGCGCCGCGTTGACAAAAATATATCATATACCTTCACTGTCGAGATGCTGTCTGCTGCTGACCGTTTCACTGTTAACCTGGGGTAGAAACGAACAAGTGTTCTGGTTCACTACTGAGCAACACAGACTACACTAACGGACCTGGTCGTAAGTCACTTCTGCGCATTCGGAAATACTGCTGTGAAACTACATTTCAACATTTCCGCTCATTTCGTACTGTGGTCAGGTCGTGCGTGAGGCCATGCTCGCAGGGCACACCGCTTGATCACACCGTTTCATCACTGGACACCCTACGGAAGAGTGAAGCAGCTGGTGTCTTCTGATTACAGAAGTGCAACTCGACAGTGTGATGGCGGCTAAGACCGGGGGCGAATTGAATCGATGCGATGGACTGGGGACCAATCAGACGAAAGCCGAGCACGTACGACTGTTCCGACGCAGCACGCCTTCGAAAAGCGGAAAAGCGGATTGGTCGGCCGTACGGCGAGCGGTTGTATTACGCCAGGGTCCATGTTAGCGACACGCTCAGCTGTGGCAGATGGTCAACCGAAGAAGCATCAGCCGAATAGAGGAATAGCCAATTAGACACTAGTCCTGAGACCTGATCACGTGGAAGGAACCCGGCCCAGCGCAATGGAGAAACAGCACGCCCTCAGAAAGCGGTAAAGCGAATTGCTCGTCCGGCAGGTGGTTGGCATATGCCTTAGACCGTGGTAGCAATACACGCAGTTGTGACAGATTGCCGTGGGATCACCAACTAAATGAACGGACAGACAATCCGGCGACACCGTGCAGTCTCTGCGTGATGGCAACAGCGAGGCCTAAGGTAACTAGTAGCTTGATAGGCGTGGATCGACCCGTATGGGTAACGAGCATAAACCATTGGGATGTAGATAAGGTTGCAGGCCAGTCAAAGAGGAGTAGCCAGTGAACGGACAACATGGAAATACCGTATGTAGTGTATAAATAACCAGGAAGCTTCTTAATACTGATTTTGTGATCGCCACCCAAACTTTATTCTTGCTTCTCGGAGGGCAACCCGACAGACAGAAGTCCCAGTTTGCAAAAAGGAGCAACTTAGCTGCGTCACCTCAGAACCTCACTCCCAGAATTCCTCGAAAGGGCAAATACCTCATACCACTTATAACGAGTTATGAAAATGATAGGAATTCGGAGACTTACAACATCTGCCAAAATTTGCTTCGTATTGTCTTTCCGATCGTACCAGTGTCCGTGGTCGAGCCACATCCGAAGCAATTCGAGCGGCGGCTGAGCGCCGTATTTCTCTTTCATGGGCATATTCAAATCATCCACAAACACAATGCATTCCTTTCCGGGCGGTGGACCAAACACACCCTTGCGTCGTCGATCCAAGCGAGACATGATTATATCTTGCGTTTGATTCGCACTGGTACGTGCTGAGAAATTGAGCGTGTTGGGTATGTACCTCTCCTTTGGTAGATCGATGAGGAAACGGCTAGCGATTGCGGACTTTCCAGTTCCTTATCAATAAAAGGAAATGTGTAGCATATACCCGTAAATTGAAACAAATATGACTGAAGAAAATAAAGCTCGGTTACCAGTGGAAATACACCAAAGGCAGTGGTAACATCGGAAGGGACCCATTATATAAACGCATAAGGATGGACCCATGGGCCTCTTTCTGTCCGACACAGTGAGCAGGGTTTGATCACACAACATAGCTTCACTAAGACGCCTCTCTGCATCAATCAGTTGAACAACATACTATCTATGGTAAGTCACTAAGCCGTGGCTACGCAAACCAACTTAACGAAAAACAAAGTAGCTGCCTCCGATTAGTGCTGCTGTTTGAATTTTTACTGGTTAAATTTACTGCATACTGTACCAGTGACTGACCACGCCCATGCGTAAAAGTGAGCCATCCATGGGGTTTAATTGTAAATGGAGATCGGAAACCACAGCAGGACAGGTATGTTAGGGGTAATCGCATCTCTGAATACCGTCAAAACTAGTCAATTTCTTAACTGGAGGAAGTAAACTACAAGACTAAAGCAACTAGTATTGCATCAGCAATTCATCTCGCACGACACTGGACACGTCATCATAGCCGATGCGATGAAGCGTTGCCCACGGAGTTTGTACCTTGAGCCGCGTCGCCACCGTCAGATGTTACAGCCTATCGACAGACTGACAAAGCGCACAGAAAGTAGCGGATTCCTCGTGAAATCGAGTAACGATCATGTGCACAATTACCTAGGGCCGCACACAAGTCGTTCTCTTACTCCGAGCACAATGTCTAAGCACTATCATCACCAAGTGGTAGGTGCACCTCATGGCAAGTACAGCAATTGCGAAGCCGAGTGCTCCATTGGCCTAGCTTCGATCGTTGTTATTCCGAATAAACCTCGCGAATCGAAAATGATTTCAGACACCCCTTAGTTGGGCTCAGTCACACACACACACACACAGAGAGAGAAAGAGAGAGAGAGAGAGACAAGTGCATCGCACAGACAAGTGCGAGGATATTTTTGCCACATTAAACGGTGACACGTGCTTCGCTAACCTAGATCTGTCTGACGCCTATCGCCAGATGGTTATAGTGGAGCATTCTCGGGAACTACCTACGGTAAACACTCGTCGTGAGTTATTCCAGTATAATCGTTTACCATTTGGAGTAAAATCGGCCCGATCCATTTTTCAGCAATTAATGGACACCATGCTGGCGGCTTATCTGGATGATATAATTGTTATGGCTCAGCCTAAGTCTGATCTATTTAACAGGCTGGGTAAAGTGCTTATCCGAATACAGGAATATGGTTTCCGTCTACGCGGGGACATGCTTTATCCTCGATAAGGATGATCGATGCACAGATCCGGAAAATATAAAAGCAATCCAAAACATGCCTCTACCGTCAGATCTGTCCTCCCTCCCTTCGCTCTTAGGACTTGTCAGCCATTATAGCTCAGTTGTGCCAGAAATGCGTCGCTTACGTGCACTACTGAATCAACTACTGAACAAGAATTCTACGTGGAATTGGTCGCTTTAATGGGAAGTTGCTTTTAATAAGATTAAAACACAGTTAATTTCAGACCTCTTGTTGACACATTACGATCTGGAATGTTCGTCCCTCGTCTGAATGGACGCTTGATTCCAAAACAAAACCCGAAGTCACTGCCCCTCCCCGCAGGACAGAGAGAAGACCGGACTGGACCAGTAGAGCAACGGGGATGTATTAGCGAATCACACCGTTCATTATAAAGGTGACATGGAAAGTTCGTGAATGGTATTTAAAGCGCGCGTGGAAAGCTTTGGAAAGGTCAACTTACAACAAATCAAGGGACGACGCCCTCGCGTTAATTGGTCACTTCTCCCAGTTGGATCTCTGTTCGCCGCAATCAGGGCGATGGGGTCCTGGCTTGTTTGACTCGCGTATTCCTTCCTAACACTTCCCCCCATTGAGTTGTGTTGTACGATTTCAGCTTCGGGTTGATTTGCATGGGTGACACGAATTTGCGTCGCCGCTTCGGCCTCTGTGCTGCTAGCTTTTGGGGTGAATGTTGTGGTTGCTGTGTTGGGGCATGTTGGGGAGTCTTCGCTTCACCCGCATCGGCCAGTATGTCCAGAGGTAACTGCGCTGCTGCTACTTGTTGTTGCAGTTGTTCGCCAGTCCGTGCATCTAGCAGCTGATTGGCATGTCTTACCCAAACTGCCGTCCCAACCTGGATACCGTAGATCACGTTACCACTTTCGTATAGCACACGGCCCATATCCAATTTAGGATAGTGGATGAGATAATCTCTCGCCAGGACTTGTTGACCAAAATCAAAGGTTCGCTTCCGAGCACCGTGTCGGATGTTGAATTGACGCTCCGTCTGATAGTTGTGGGACAGTAACTGATCCTTCGTGGATCTGAGGGCATAATGTGGCACACGGATTTTCATTTGAAACAAAGTTTCAGCCGGAGATAATGTGTTCAGTGTCTACGGATTTGAAGTTGTGAGATACGTCAGAAGAAATGTGTCAATAATCTCCTCCAAGGTACCTTCCCCCATCACTTTTAGCAAGGCTCTTTTGAGTGTATCCACAAACCGTTCCGCTTACCCGTTCGATTGTGGGTGGGGAGCCTGAGACCTTACATGGACGATCGCGTTTCTGCGACAGAAGACAACAAATTCGGAGGAAGTGAGTTGTGTTCCACTGTCCGAAACTAATGTGTGGGAAACACCGAAACGTGAAAATATCTGTCGGAGAGCGGAGACAGTGGCTGCTGCGGTGGTTCTCACCAATGGAATCCCATCTGGTTATTTACTGTGGGCATCGACAACGATGAGAAAATGACGATCGTCAATTGGTCCTGCAAGTCAACGTGTACCCTTGACCATGATTCCGTTGGTATTGGCCAGGATTGCAATTCCCTCTTCCTTGGTTGTTTAACTACACTGGCACATCGGGGACAATTCTTCGTTAAATTCTCGATCTGGGAATCCATATAGGGCCAATACACATAGCTTCGTACTGGCGATTTCATGCGATTCATTCCCGGGTGGCCAGTATGAAAATGGCGGAGGACTCTCTTGAAGGATGAGAGGAATGACGACACGATCTGAGAACAGCAGACATTTGCTGACGACTGATATTGCTTCCTTTCGTTGGTGGAATTGTTGAAGCTTCGGCGTTGTAACTCTCTTAGACCAGCCATTGAGGTGGAAATCGAGCACTTGTTGTAGGGTAGAATCATGATGGGTCGCTTCCTGCACCATTTCGAACGTTACTGGTAAGGCACCGAAAATGTCAGACATAACTTGATGTACTTGGGATTCTACAGAGGTTTGAGCAACTACCAAATCCTCTGGTGCTTGATGCTGTGTATCAATTAAAGGAGATAACGCATCCGCTTGACCAATGTTGTGTGTAGATTGATATTTGACGACGAAATCGTAACCAAGTAGAACAGTTGCCCAGCGTTTGGAGACGACCGGCCGTGCAGACTGGAATGCCTTTCTTTGATCCAAAGATTGCGACCAAGAGTTCGTAGTCAGTGAACAGCGTGAATTTTCGTCCATAGAGCATTTTGTGAAATGACTTGCCTGCAAACACTGTAGCCAAAGTTTCTTTCTGGATCTGTCCATAATTACGTTCCGCTGGGGTGAGTGATCTGGCTGCATGTGCCACAGCTTTCTCCGAACCATTGGGGAAAATGTGGGATATGACTGATCCAATTCCGTAATCTTACGCGTCAGCAGCAACTATGATCTCCAGCTCCGGATTGAAATGCCTTGGCAATAGGTCAGAATACAATATAGACTTGACATTATCAAATGCGGCTTGACATTCAGGAGACCACACAAATTTGCGATCTTTTACCAGAAGTTCATTGAGTGGTCCTCGTAGCCGATGTATTTCGGGCACAAATCTGCTGTAATGATTGGTCAACCCCAAGAATGATCTGAGCTTCGCCACACTGTCAGGGAGAGACATCTGTTTTATGGCACTCATGTTGGAAGGATCCGGACGGCGGCCGTTCTTGTCGATGATGAAGCCAAGATACTTCCCACAATTCATACCGGTATCGCACTTCTTTGCTTTCAAGTGGAAACCGTAGTCGTTAACGCGGTGGAGATCTGCTTCCAGTCTTTCCGTCAGCTCTCAAAAGGCAGACCCTTTGATCATGATGTCGTCCAAGTAGGCTGCGACTTCTGATAACCCAGCTAACATTATAACCATAATTTATTGAAAAATCGCGGGAGCTAATATGATACCAAACGGCAAACGGTTGAACTGGTAAAGACCTCAGTGCGTATTGCCTGCTCGCAAATCCTTTGAAGCATCGTCGACTTCAATTTGAAGACAAGCATCTGATAAATTTAGCTCTGCAAAGCAAGCGCCACCACTGAGCTTAGTAAATAGATCTTCTGGGACTGGCAAAGGATACTGGTGCATTTTCAAAGCAACACTCAATCCCGTAGAGTAGTCAGTATAGATACGAACGGTTCCATTGGTCTCCTTGACGACAACAATAGGTGCTGTCCACGCTGAATAGTTCACAGGTTGGACGACGCCGGCCCGCTTCAAACGATCAAGTTCCGCATCAACAATCGGAAGCGCAGTGTACGGTACCGGTCTTTTGGGTCGGAATACGGGTTTGGCACTGTCTTTGAGAGTAAGGCTTGCTTTGGTCTTTGTGCATCTTCCCAAGTCGTTGCGAAACACAGACGGGAATTTCCTTCGTAGCTGCTCGATCAGGTTGTTGTTTGCTTCGTCACCTTCCGAAGAGAGCCTCGTATATCCGAGCTGGAGGTGATCGCAGACTTGATTCAGAGGAATGTCGAACAGGTGGAGCTTCTGGATCCACTCGAGCCCAAGCAGATTCAAATGTGACAGGCCCGTAATGTATACGACACCGTTTGCCCGAGCAACGCCGGAAATCATTTCACACTGCAGCTCACCAATGAGATTAAGTTGACCTCCTGAAGCGTTAAGTGCAGCATGTGTCGTTCGGTTGATTGACGAAGCACCAAT